CCACCCACCCATCTACCCACCCAGCCGCACACATGCACCCACCCATCCACACCTGTAGTGTGAGTGCCTGACAATTAGCCCTTTTCGCCTGCAAGTTGGGTGCCTGACATGAAGCTTTAAGCTTCTGTATGCTGAGGCATCCTTTTCAAAAACATCCACCACGATAAACACATTGCCAACTACACAGCTAGATAAAGAACCAGGCCACCGCGCGTATGAAGCTCCCCCTGTAGAAAGCCCTTGGGTGACCTAGATAACTGACCGCTTGAGTGACCTGCTTTTCCACTCCCATTCTTACATTTTAAATTCCCCAATAAGGAGTGACCCGCGGAGAGCCTGGGCACGGCACCCCTGGCCCCGGGAAAGGCAGAGCCCACCCACGTTGCCCCCTGCACCCGTCTGTGTGGCTCAAAGTACGCAGTCTGCCCTCGGGGACTTGAACGATAACCTTGCATTTTCAAAGTTCCCGGATATTGTTGCTGAGTGCGTCTGGCAGTCACGGTGGGAACCACAAGGGCGAGGTGGCCACCGCGACGGCTCTGATCTGCGAAATGTCTGCTGGGGGGATGGGAGGGCGGTGGGGCAGGTGAGAGCCCCAGGCATTCCCAGCCGGCAGCATCACCGCTGATAGGCTGAGACGACCCCACACAACCCCTCACCCACCCATCGGAGACCCTGCTGCGCCGGGAGCTCTTCGCCGCGGGCTGCGGAGACTCCAGGCAAAGCAGGGGTGCCGGGCGCTGAGCATTGGGAGCAGGCGGGTCCAGCCCGCCGGCGCTGAAGCCTTGCCTCACTCCCTGCTTCGTTCAGGCCTTGGACAGGGTGACCCCGAGGAGCCCGCTCGACTCGGTCAACGGGTGCCCTGCCCCCAGGGTCCCAGGCCTTGTGCGCGCGGCCGGTCGCCGCGTCTCCATCTCCCGCAGCGCGGGGCTCGCGCGCAGCGGCCGGCTGGGGAGCGCCGCCATGCTGCCGGAGGCGACCTCGGCTTCTCCGCGGTCCTTCGGTTGGCTCCGAGGGGCGGCCAGCGTTATAAATAGATGTTCTCCAGCTAAAAATAGCCGCGCCGGAGCCGCAGCCCTGCTTCCAGCTTTCGGTTTCTTTGAGGACTCTTACGGTTCATGGAGCCCACCTCCTTCCGCAGCCCCCACGTGTGTATCTTCGCCCGCGCGCGCGTACGCGCGCACGCACGCACACACACGCATACACACATGCGCGCGCACACACACGCATACACACGCGCGCACACACACACTTCCTGCCTGGGGGACCCACACATGCCACCCGCAGCAGCCCTGCTGGTGAGGGATGGAGGTCTGCAGACCGGCGGGGAGCTGCCTCCGATGAGAGGTGCTGGGGACAAGGGTGGGGAGACACCAGAGGCCTTGTCCTTTCATGTGCTACTTCAATAAAGAATTTACGCAAAATTTAAAAAGCGAGTTGCAGACCCTCTATGTAGCCAAACCCCAATGTCTAATGAAAAGAAGCCATTGTGTGGTATGTACACGCACGCACACACTCAGACACGCACATACACGCACACATATGCACGCGCACATGCGCACACAGGCTGCAGGGAAACACTTCCCCGGGGTGTGTGTGTGGAGGGCTGAGGTGTTATTTTACACGCTTCTCAGTGATGGAAACTTTCCACAAGCATGCAGTGATGAGAGCGCTGCGCCTCCAGGGCGCAGAGGTGCCCTGTGCTCAGCCCCCCACACGGGCCACCCTCCAGTGCTGCTCCCCACCTCGCAGGACCTGCCCTCTGGGCCCTGGGTTTGGGGCAGTCAGGCTCCCCGCCTCAGAAACCTCCGGGACCACCTCCACCCTTCTCTCTCCCCCACCCTTGGGGGCCCAGTCAGCCCCCGCCTCAGAAACCTCCGGGACCACCTCCACCCTTCTCTCTCCCCCACCCCCACCCCCACCCCCAAGAAAGAGGCAGCCAGAGGCGCGGAGAAAACATCCATCTCAGGATTTATTACAACACGTTTTTTTTCAAATACAAAAGAAGGGACAGGACGGGAGCAGGAAGTGTGGCCGCGCTGGGGAAGGGGGCCTGGGGGGGGCAGGCAGCCCAGTCCAGAGAGACTGGGAGCCATGGTGGGGGGACCTGCCACCCCTCCTCCGCTGGACTTTCCAGCAAATAATAGGAGGGGGCCGGGTCCATTCTGAGGCCACACCAAGGCCAGGGCACCAGCGGGGTGGGAGGGTGGAGGGCCGAGGGAGACTCCGAGAGGACTGAGGCCCCGCCCCTAGCCCCGCCCACAGGTGAAAATGACCAGGGAAGGGCTCACGCCTGGTGCCTGCCCCTCCCCCCAGACAGGAGACCTTCTCCTGGGTCGCAGCTGCTCACTTGGGGGTGACCAGTGTCTCAAGGGTCCCCAGACTCCCCAGGACAGAGGCCATGAGAACCGCTGCAGCCCTGGAGAAAGGGTGAGGGACAGGGCTGTGGGACCTTCCGCTAGCGTTCTGGGGCCCAACCAGTGGCTCCAGCCCACTGTCTCCTGGACAGCATAGGGTGGGGGTGTGGAGGGGGGACCAGTGCATCCTCCACACCTAGGGTCACCTCAGAAACCCAACGCGATAGATAAACAGAAGGCAAATTTACATAATCAATAATAATAATAATTAACCAATAATAATAAATACTTAAACCTCTAATCCATAGATTGCAAATACAACAATGATAGCTTATTTCTTGGAGCATGGAGTGGGGGTAGAGAGAACAGGAACAGGACTTCTGCGTAAAGGAGGCATGACAGGGACTCAGGGCTATGGGTCCAAAGAAGAACAAATAGAAATGGCCAGAGGGGCAGCTGGCAGGGTGGGGGGCACGCACCTCCCCCTCCATGCCTCAGGTATCGGTCCTGCTCCAGCCACCCCTCCTGCCAAGCCCTGGTCTCTTCCCGCGGTGGCCAGCCCTCACTCCTAGATTCTAGGACTTCGGAAGGTTGGGGGACATCTACATGTGTCTCAAAAAGCCTTGGGTCCCAGTAACCCATGTGGGTGCGAGGCATGGGGGACCTGGGCCTTTGCTCCTGCCCTCACCTCCAGGCTGCCCTACCTGGGCCAAAAAGCCACCTGGGGTTGGGGACTGGCATGCTACCTCAGAGATGCTGGGAGGCTCTGGAGAGGAAAGCTCCCCAGGAAAGGGGGGGGGCCAGGGGTTTCTCTCCTCTGAGGCTCCTGTGGGGTGGGGGGCAGCCATGGCGGACACCTCCTGCATCTGCTCGCATCAGGGGTCTTTATCTGCCCCGGAGCTGGTTCTCCCAGAGCTAAAAACCCCACTTGTGGAAACAGAAGGGTCTGACCGGCAAGGTGGGCCCCTCGACCTGCAGGAATATACCCAGACACCACGGCTGGCTGGGGCGGGGGCGGGGGCGGGAAGAGCCCAGAACAAAACCCTAAGCCCATCAGCCCTCTGCCCAGTGGGCATCTCTGGCCGGCCCAGCTCCTCCCGCCAGACACTGCGGCCAGCTCCTCTTCCCGGCTTCCCCCACCTGGCAGGTGGCTCTTGGGGGCACCCACAGATGAAGGAGAAGCAGCCTCCTCTGAACGGCTTGGCTGAGGACGTGAACATGGAGCCAGGCTCAGGCGGGCGTAGGGGGCAGGCCACCTCATTCCTGCCTGGGGGACCCACACATCATCTGACACTCAGGAGCCCCTTTCACCAAGTCTCACCCTGTTCTACACCTCGGTCCCTCCGAACACCCTGGCCTCGGCAGGCCCAATGCTGGTCACCCCCTGCCAGACACAGGCCTGGGGGTATGGGCGGTAGGGGTGTCCTCCATGGCACCCAGACTCCCACCTAGACCTGGAGTGGGGGGAGCTGGCAGAGACTCCAGGACCACAGCTCCTATGGCTTTGGTGCGGAGCCCAAAAAAGGAACAGAAGGAGGAGGGTGAGGAGAGGTGGGGGGAGAGGGAAAG